TACAAATTAGCTCAGGAAATGTTAATTTTTTTAACCAATTTTTTTAAGCATTGTGCAAAGCACTGGCTTCATTTAATGATTTGAATGGTTCAATTGAAAAATCATTTTTTTCTTTGTCTACCTTTTTTACACTAAACTTCTTTTTTCTTTTTTAAATTAACAAGTCATAGCAGGAAAGCCCAACAAGTTAATAACTCTTCTTAGCAAATTATCTGGATAATCACTATATATATTATACATATTATGAAAAAATTATCTATGATTAGTATATTAAATGGCAAAAAAAAGATTAAAAATTGAGTATCATTATCTCTCATGAAAATTTTGCCTGAAAAAGTTTGAACTATATTCTTTCAATTAGGAAAACATAATTTAAAAAAACACTTTTCATAAACTTTAAAGTCATAGTACATATATGTGTGTATATATGCATTCATACACAAATGCACACATTTTCTCAGATACAGAAAATTAGGTTAAGCATAACTCTCAATTCCTGGCTACTATCATAATTTAGTCTTAAAAAAAAATTCACTTACTTTATTATCTCATTTTTTCTTCATTACTCACCACTTTTCCTGTCCTTTTATAAATGACCATTTTAATGTATTTACTATAAATATTTTGCTGCATCCTTTTCTTTAAAAATACATACTGATTTTTATGTATTGGTTTGTAATTTATAAAAATGGTATTGTGCTATTATTCTTATTCTATTTAATACTTTATATAATAATGATATTTTTGATGTAAGAAAATATGCTTTTTTTTCCTTCTGGTTGCTTTATAATGTTCCAAAGTCTTACATTTTACTTTTCCATTTATCTGGTTATGGAGATATAGCTTGTCTCTATCCCTCAGCTACAACAAATATTTAACAACGTCCCTTGTGGATATTAGGAAAAATTTTTCTAGGATACATGCTAAGAAAGTAGACAAGTACATAGAGTATATAAGTTTTACCAGGTACAACAAGCTTCTTGCTGGAATGGCTGTACTAGAGTACCACACGATCGATCGTCCATGTAGAAGTCTAATCCTATCAACAGAACATCCCTTAGAATGGAGTTCACAAAGGTAGCCACAGATAGCATTATAAACATATCTTTGTTCGAATCTATTTATTCACTATAACTCCAATCAAAACTCAAGAAAAAGATTATAAAATATATTTGAAAAATTTCCACAAATATCTAAGAGAATGTTGAAAAACAAGAGTAAATAAAATGGCTTACAAGATTTTACAGAATTCTTCAATGCAAAAACAATAGGGAAAAATAAAAAAGAATATCATATCCCTGGGGAATTGTTAAGCTTAGGGCCATCAGAAAAGACATGAAAAACACAGTGGTGGTGATCCTAACACCTCACCATTCACCTCAATTTTTCTGGTCTGTGTACACTGAGGTGGACTCGGAATGGTTGGCTTATCGCAAACTGAGCCAGAGGGTGACACCAACTACATCATCCTTTCTATATGGTGTCCACTAGAGCAAATAAAAATATGTTCTTAGAGGGCCAGTTGAGTGGGTCAGTTGGTTAAGAGCTCTCTCAAGAGTTTGAGCTCTGAGCAACAGCGGTTAGAGTCCCGGCCTGAGCTGAGCAACCGCTGAGCTGACAACAGGTGGCAGGATGGCTCAGCTAAAGAAAAAAATATATATGTTCTTACATCTGCTACCCAGCTAACAATTTTGCAACTGTGTTTTTATCTTTACCAGTCAGTAAGAACAATTAGAAATATTTCACTTTCAGCTGCCAAAGAACCCCTTCACTGTTAGACCTCAGGGTGCTTCTCCCACTCCATGACTGACAGGAGCCTTGATTATCTGAACATCCTACAGGATACCATACTGATAACATTTTGATCACATCATCCTAGCTGCCTTAGCAGACACATGCATGCCTCTGGAGGGAAAAAATGTTGATATTTCTTGTGCTTGACTATTCAGCAGGGATTCTAAATATCTAGGCGTCTACATCTTATTGGGATACTCTTCTAATATATACGGTAAATTTCTGCACTCAGGATGATCTAGCATGCAAGATTTTTGGGGTTTATTTGCATATTTAAAAAACATATTACAGAGCCGGCCGAGTGGCACAATGGTTAAGAACTGGCTTGGGATGTCAGAGGGCCCCAGTTCGGATCCCACATATGAGGGCCAGTGACACTGCCCTCCACAGTTAAGATGCTGAACAACAGCTCGACCTGGAGCTGGGCTGCCCTGAGTCACCGGCGACAGCTAGGCTGCAGCCCCTGCTGCAGTGGATTGCCATGGGCTACCATGTGCAGCCAGCAGCCAGCGTGAGCGGCCAGCAGCCGCAGTGAGTAGCTGTCCAGAAGCCGGCGACTGATCTGCCTCGCCCGGGAAGAGTGCAATGATGGTGCCAACTTGGGCCAGTGAGGCAACGTCCTCCACAGCTAGACTGAGGAACAGGACGATAGCAACTTGTCTGTCCCCTTCCCCCAATTCCCCAGCGCTGTTCCCATTCCCCAATAAAAATCTTTTAAAACAAAAAAACATATTACACACTCAGGTGTACTGCTCTAACCCATTTATAAAGTAGCCCAAAAGAGCTTTTGTATGAAAAAGTGTCTATAGCTTCGTGTTTTGCAAGCTGCTCTGACATTTAGTCCAGATGACCCAGGTCATCCATTCAATGGTGCCTGAAGTACTTGGTGGCAAATAAGGATGCTCTACAGAGACTAGAAAGCCCCATTTGGAGACTCATAGTATAGACATCAAAAGTTTTGGAGTCAAGTCATTCCTTTTTTGCTGAAAACGGTCTTGTTTGGTTGGTTGATTGGTTGGTGGGTTTGCAACTGGTGGTGATAGAAAGTACTCACTTGACTGTGAGCTTGTAAGAGACTACAACCTGAGGTGCCCATGATGAACTAAGTGCTGTATGATCTGCCATGCTATAAGATCAGGCTTGCATAGAAGCAATATATTATCAAGTGAAAGTGAGCTGTTAAAAATCAGGCTCAAGCAGGTGCAAAAATTGCAAGAAAGATGCACAGAAAGAAGCCCAGACTTACTCAGCACCTACTTCTTCTACATTCCCCCCCTACTGTAATTGAAAATGTATGACCTCATGGGGAATGATCAGTTGATGAAGGATAAATCAAATTCAGGTATAGTTTATGGATAGGTCTGCACAATATAGAGGCATCAGGCAGAAATGCACTGCTACACAAATTAAGCTCCATTCAAGATTGGAAATTTAGAAAAATGTAAAAATGAAATGCTTAAGTGGGCTCATTTGCAGTATCTCTGGTTGTTCACTCTGCATGGCATGAGACTGGCCTGTGATGGATTCACCCTGATTCATGGGCAATGGCTAATGGAGAACGGCTGGACAGGGACACAGAAATGATGACTTTGCAAGACTGGTAACAAGAAGGTCTATTCAATGGCCAGAATTGCTACACATAAAACTTTCCACTCATCTGAGTGATTGGCCTGTTATGGATCTACCTTGATTTGTGGGCAATGGCTAATGGTGGCTGGTTGGCTGGTCAGGGACATAGAAATAATGAGTTTGCAAAATTAGTGGCAAAGAGGTCTATTCAGTGGCCAGAATACATACTTTAAAAACTTTCTACTCATATGAGCCCCTCATTGTTCCTGAGCCATTCTGTAATACTTTACCTGCATCGGGTTAGTTTTGTTAGTGAATAAACCATGTTTAGTGCTGGGTTTTGTTTTGGTTTTCCAATAGCTGGGTTATTTTGGTGGTGAAACAGGCATGACCCTTAAAAACTTAAGATCTTCCTAGCTGGGTTTTATTATAGGAACCACCCCAGCCCAAGTGTATTGATTGCTCAAAGGCAAGAAATAATTGCTGCTCACTATAGATGTTTAGAGAGAAAAAGACCCACAATAGCCCAGATCTTTATTTTATCAGATGGGAGAGAATGAGGCAATTAGGAAAGCTTTCCTCAAAGCAAAGAAACACATTTTTCATTACAGAAAGTAAAGCTATGTAAAATACTGAATTCTCCATAAGGTATTAGAAATAATTATTTGAATTAATAACTGAATATGGAATTATAAATTTAAGTCACTTCAAAAACATGCACTGAGAATCTAGTATTTGCCAGGGCATACACTGGTCAACTGAACACAAAAATAAATAAAATAATAGTTTCTTCCAGTTTTACGAGTTTTCAGCTCAATTGCCAATTATCAAGCAAATGGGACATTAATGAAGGCTTTCATTTAAATTGTGAAATAATGATGGGCATAGTGGTGAAAATGTGAGTTATAAAAGCAAGCCATTCCATGCTTATCATTTTGAATCAACAGATAGCCATTTTCAGCATTCCAGGAAAAAGTGAAAATTTCTTTATGAAAACTTCTTTATATCAACCATTTTTTTAGCAGACGCTTAACCTTCAGTAATACTCACATCATATCCTTTACATGTATACTCTTCAGGTCTTACATTGTCCCATCCAGTGGCCACTAGCTACATGGGTTTTAGACTAAAATTAATTAAAATTAAACAAAGTGAAAAATTCAATCCTCAGTCTGACTAGCTACATTTTTTAAATTTTATTGTGTTAAAAACACTTACCATGAGATTTACCCTATTAACAAAATTTTTAGTATACATTACAATATTGTTGACCATAGAAGGGGGAAAATGGGAGTTACTAATAAACGTGCATAAAGTTTCAGTTAAGAAAGATGAATAAGTCCTAGATATCTACTGTTCAACATTTAAGTGCACAGTGATCCTATGTGCTTAGAGCCTGCCATGTTGTATTATAGAAAATGTCCTTTATCACAGAAAGTTTTATTGGTCTCAAAAGTTGAACCTATCTTCCTAGTTAGAGGAATAAGGAGAACCAATGAATTTTAAAGGTAATTAATGTTGATCTTTTGTTTCTTCAATAGTGTATTTTGTTCTACTTAATTGAATACATTCTATTCTGTTGTAAAATTAATGGCTTACTTTCTCTTCTCTTTCTGGTTGTAAAACAAATGCCTTACTTTCTTCTGTTGGCAAGTGTCTCTTCTTCGTTTCTTGCCGAGATCTTCATTCCATGCTTCTCTTTGCTCTCATCAAAAGAACAACGGGGGCTTTGTGTGGGTGTTCTGATTGGACGGCCACAAATCTTATTTACCTTTCAAATCAAAAGTATTAAAAGACAATTAGAAACCATACTCCAGCCATTCTGAGAATGTAATGTTTACTAGAGAACAAAATAATGACATGTTCTTACTTACCCTTCAATATTAATATTGAAGACATATGTTTGTCAATTTTTCAAACAGAAAGGATCAAATTATTTGTGCAAAATGACATCCAAAATAAATCGATGCTACACACATTTATACAGTTTGTATGTATTCATTTGCAAAATACAGGAATAAAATATATATGTAAAATCAATCAGATAACTATATTAATAAAATAGCCTGCTTGCATAAATAAGACTACTTAACCAAAGTGGATATTATTTATGGTTTATATTCATAAGTATGACTAATCACATACTTGTACTGATTTTTTTAATGAAAAAACTTGCTACTGAATATGTGGTCCATTTCTAAATTAGTCCTAAGGTTAGTTTTCTTCTTAAGGTCCTTTCTTAGAAATAACATAAATATGTTTATATGAGGATCTCATTTTATAATAGATCTATATCTTATTCCTCAATCTGGTTTTGATTTCAAGGGTGTTATTATAATCTCTTTTTAAAAAATATTTATCCAAATGGAAAATTCATTGTGTTTTTTTCAATACATATCTAGCAAAGATCTTTGTATAATTTACATAATCATCATTGAAAAATTAAGTAATTAATTAAATACATTACTGTGTAAAGCATTAAAAAAAACCTCATTGGTATCTTATAAAGTTAAAGAGGCAGAGTGGTATAATTGAAAATATATAAAAGCATTGCCTGGGAATCAGGAGACTAGTTCTTATCCTAAATTTTCTTCCTTAAATGCTGAGATCTTAAGAAAAGTGGAAAAATTTCTTTGATCTTGACTCCCTTATAAGATGAAGAATTTAGAGCAAACTGTGCCAAAAGTTCCTTAAAGTTCTAAATTTCTTTGATTTTTTCCATGCAATGAGCATTAAAACAGTTATGTACCAATTCATTTACTTAACCCATATTTATTTTGCTTCTTTGCAAAGAACATGCATTAGATATGATAAAAGATGAGAGACTAAATTTTCCCCTAAAAGAGCTGACAATTTAGAAGGAAAGAAAAACTTCCCAAACATCAAAATGCAAGTTGTGTGTGTCAAAAAATTGAGAGAGACAAGGTGTTATGAAAATCTAGAGGAAGGTGGGATGGGTGAAGAAAGAAATCAGGAGAGACTACTCCACTGGGATGAGGCTTGGAGCATACGTTGGGCCTGAATAGGATGGGGTTTATTTCAGTTCAACCAAATTATAAATATACAAAAATTTATTGCAACTCTATTCTGATATAATTTGTATCTAAAGATATTAATACATATGAATAAGGTGTGACTAGTATACACAGTTAAGACTAAAGTCAGACATGTAAAATAGCAATTGTAATACAGCATGAGAAGAGCAGCCAGAGAAATACCGAGAAGTAACACTGTAACACTTAGAAATAGACAGAGTAACTCTCTTTGGGCTGCTCAGGAAAGAGCTTTGGGAAGTCATGTCTACACAGCAAGGTAAAGGATGAACTGGGAGTTTGTCAGGTGGATAAAGGGGAAAAATTCCAGGAGAGAGTATAAATTAAAAGGGGTGTACAACAACTCAACATGTTCACAGAGAACAAAAAGTACAGAGTAAAAGAAAGTGGTACAGCAAGAGGTAAGACATAAAAATGCCATGCTACATTAGGTGAAGGAAGTTAACTAGTACTGTGGTGATCATTCCACAATACATACAAATACCGAATCATTTATGTTGTACACCTGAAGCTAATACAATGTTAAATGTCAATCATATCTCAATTTTTTTTTGAAAAGGCATAATATGACTTAGATACCAAGCTAAAAACTTTGCTTTAGCAAATAGAGAGTATGCAAAAGGTTACAACCAGGAAAATGTTAACTTAAGATTTCCACAAGAGAAAAAATCTTCATTACAGCAGTATGCAGGGAGGGAGATCGAAGAAGGTCCTTCAGTGAAACAATGGAGAAATGCTGAGCCCAAAGTCAGTGTCAGAAGGGGTGAAAAGGAAGAAGCAAATATAAGAGGTACACAGGAGGAAGAGAGAGTAGCAGTATGGAGATTGATTGGCTATATCATGCTGTCAGAACAAAGAAGGATGATGACAGCCAGAAGAAAAACCCTGAGAGGTAAGAGCAAGAAAACATGAGGCTGACACAAAAAATAGATAAAAAATTGATTTGCCTGGAAAGCAGGAGACATGATGGATAATAGTAAAAGAAAATTACGTTTCAAGGGTAGATTGGAGTTAGAGCTTGGGAGGGTTTGAAATGCCAAGCTAAGAAGTTGTATTTATTAGACATAAGCTTCTGATGGCTGTTGAATGGAAACGCAAAATACCAGAGCTGATATTTAGCAAATGAATCCAACAGCACTCTGTAAATTGAACTAGAGTGTCCCATGAAAGGCAGGTAGGCTGTTAATTGACCCCTGAAACAGTGCTACGAAAAGGCTTTGGATTAAGAACTACAGTAGTGATAGTGTCCATGAAGAGAAGGATTCATGAACTAAATGCAGAGAGGAAAGAAGTAAAACCAACAGGGCTAAATCCAGAATACTGACAACAGCAAGTGCTGACAAGGATGTGGAGCAACAGGGACTCTCATTTACTGATGGGGGGAAAGCAAAATGGTACAGCCACTTTGGAGACAGTTTGGTGGTTTCTTACAAAAAAATATATATTACAAAAATAATCTAACCATACGATCCAGCAATCCTACTCCCTGATATTTAGCTAAAGGAGTTGAAAACTTGTATGCACACAAAACCCTGCACTCAGATGTTTATAGAAGCTTTATTCATAATTGCAAAAGCTTGGAAGCAACCAAGATGTCCTTCAGGAGGTGAATGGATAAACTGTGGTACACCCAGACAACAAAATATTATGCAGTGCTATAAAGAAATGAGCTATCAAGCTGTAAAAAGACATACAGAAAACTTAAATACCTATTACTAAGTAAAAGAAGCCAATCTGAAAAAGCTACATACTATATGATACCCACTATATGATATTCTGGACAAGGCAAAACTATGAGGACAGTACAAAGATCGGTGGTGGCCAGGGGTGGACGTGGGGGAGGGATAACAGGCAGAGCACAGAGGATTTGTAGGGCAGTGCAACTATTCTGTATGACACTATAATGGTGAATACATGTCATTATACATTTGTCCAAACCCATTAGAATGTACAACACCAAAAGTGAACTATGAACTTGGGCTGATAATGATGTGAATGAAGGTTCATCGATTGTAACAAATGCACCGCTCTGGTGGGAGTATTGATAATGGGGGAAACTATGCATGGGAAATCTCTGAAGGTTCTCAGCTTTTTAGGGAACCTAACACGGCTGTAAAAAATAAAGTCTATTTTGAAAAAAGAAAATCAACAGGGCTTAGCAAATTACTAAAAGTGAGAAATTAGGGATGTGTAAGGCCAAGGTGTTAAAAGGCTCAAAGTGAATTTCCAAACACTGAAGCTGAAAAATAGTGATATGGTCTGTAAATATATTAGCAAGGTGCTAAAATAGTCACTAAAAAGGAGAAGAGTATCTTCATTGTCAGCAACTCCTGTAACAAGAATCGAGGGAAGGTGATAAAGGTTGATGGTGGAAACGTTAAGAGTGAGATTGTTTAGCGATACCACAGGATGTTTTGAAATAAAAGAGGAGTAAAAGGAAAACGGGCTGCATCATAGTCCAACGTGAGTACCTGTAGACTCTAGACAAGTCACGGAACTCCGATGGATCCCAGTGTTCTCATCCTTAAAACTTGAGAGAATAAACCACTTTGCAGCTAGGAGTTAAGGGAAATCGTATCTCACCCCATCCCTCCCATGTTGGGCCTAAGACTCTATTAATGTCTGCTATTAAACGTTTCCTAGGAGCGCAGATGGAGAGCTGCAAATACCAGCCTCACAACATCTTTATTCCCATGATCATCTTTGCAAATCTTTTACAAATACGAAAGAAAATGTAGAAGCCTTAGACTTATAAGACATCTTTGATTGTATCCAAAGGTATACACATATGTAGCAGATTCCAATCAACACAAATAAATTTCAAAGCCCTTATATTTGCTGGCTGCTGTCAGGGAGCTCTGCTTCACACTTTACTGAAAGGGAATGGAAAAGCATCTGTGAACAGCAATTAGCCTTGCACCATAGCTCCCCCGAGGTGAGCCGATTCAGGGTGGCACATTTCAATAACTAGCACGTTTTTGCTATTGAAAAAATCCTCACACTTAAACTTTGACAATTTTTCATCTTTGACTTATACTGCAATTTCCTCCTTATTCTCCTCCCTGGTCGCAACCGTTCACTCTCCTCCGCAATCAGTCTGAAGTGTCTTGGAAAAAAACTATTTTCCTCCCTAATGCTTATCTACTCCTGCCGTAAACTCCATCTCTGGCTTCCCACTGATTTTCAAGTTCCCATTTCACCTTGAAATGACTCTTTTCGTTGCTCCTCCTATCACTTATCCCACTCGGATCAAGTATTTGTTTTAACAGCTTCTTGTCACTTAGCGTACAAAAGTATCAACTTTTCTTACAGCCTCCGAGTGCCTGTTCACTCAGTCTCATTCAAATCTTCAAATATTGAAAGCTATTGGCAAATAATCTCAAAAAGCTCTATAAAGAACAACTTAAGTTCTTTATTTTCATATGACTCCCATAAGGAAAGCCTCTTTTTCTTTTGCAATAGTCTTTAAAATATTTATTAATAATAAAAATTGGAAAGAAAAAAATGTTTAGAATATTACCAACTGAAAACCAACAAATATGGAGGAATTATGAGTGTTAAAAACAATCTGATTTAGAGAATGAGGCAAATGGACTCTGCATCGCCATGTTTGTTACAGTGACTTTAGACTAATAGAACTAGGTCATAGAAAGAATTTGAAGCCCAAAACAGGAAAATATCTTTGATAAGACTGTATCTAATTTGTGGAAGAATCTAC